TGCGGGCGTGGTGGTCGTTATTTGGCGTCCGCTGCCGTTCAGTGAATAGACTGCGTAACCGTGCTGGTCCTCTGTCGGGTTGTTGGTTTGCTTGCGCACTGGCCAGGATTGCGCCGTCTCTGTCGCACCAAGATGAGTTTCCTGCTGCACTGCTGGCGGCAGCGGCTTCGACGATAACTCGCTGGATGTGTTCGCACAATTCACTCGGGTCGGAAGGCAAAATGTGCGGGCGTAAATGGGGCCTTGGGTGGTCATGGTAAACTTGCGTGTTGGTGATAATGCCGGTCGTTCGTCGTCGGTGCTGTCGCCGTTGCTGTCGTCGTTCGTCGTCACATCGTGGTCGTCCGCATATCATTGCGGTCGGTACCCGCAAATCGACAGTAACAGCCATGTGGTCGGAGCCGAGGTCGGTCCTGTTGTTGGCCTCTGCGTTGGTGCAGTGCCGGAACATCGTGCGGTTCAGTAATGCGTAGTCGAGCTGCTTGTGATTGTCGCCACTGTTAGAAGTGATTTGATTTTGCACAGGCTTGCGAAAAAACGTATTTGCAATAACAAATCCCTCCCGGGCGGCCCAATGGCGTAGCCAACTACCCCTCGAGTCTTGTTCCCCGAATCCATGGCGGCCAACATGTTTGGAAGTGGTGGTGTCGGAAATGTCGGCGGCGTCGGAAGCCCCCACCTGTGCGTTAAAATCCCCTGCGAGTATCAAGTGATGTCGTGTCTTGGTGTTCTCCGTGAAGTTCGTGGATCATGTTGTAGATGCGCTGCGCGTGTGGGTCACTGTATCCCGAATGAGGAAAATATACAGCCACGAGTTGTAGTTTCAGCCTCCCTTTCTTCAGCGATACCGAGGCGAGTCTGGGCGAAAACGCTTGGAACCTCTGTATGTTTTTAACCCAACGTCGATGTATGATTAAGGCAACTCCATGGCATGCTTGGTAATTGCCGGATCCGGCGAAGACGTGCCCTTCCGAGGTTGTCCAGAACTCTTCGGCCGTTGTTCTCCACGTTTCGTTGATAAGGGCGAAATCCTAGTGATCGGACTCGAGCTCACTGATTATCTCGCTGACTCGGTTGTCTGTTGAAAGAGACGGGGCGTTTTTGTGAATGATTGTCATCTGTATGTGGTCGGTCTGCCCTGGTTGTTGTTGGTGCTGTGGAGGAGGAGGAGGAGAAGGAGGAGGAGAAAAGGGGGGGAGGATGGGAGGGAGAGGGCTGGTCGACGTTGCTGCTTGTCTGTGGTCGACGACGATTGGTGATGATGATGATGATGGTGGTGAGGATGATCGTGATGCTGATGGTGATGGTGATGATGATGATGATGATGCTGATGCTGATGCCGATGCTCGTGCTGATGCTGATGACGATTCTGATGCAGATGCGGGCAATGCGGGTGATGCTGGTGATGATGATGCTGATGATGATGCTGATGCTGGTGATGGTGATGGTGATAGTGATGGTCATGATGATGATGAGGATGGTGCTGATGATGATGGTGGTGTTGGTGATGCGGGTGATGATGCTGATGCGGATGTTGATGCTGATGGTGATGAGGCTGTTCATGATGATGTTGATGATGCTGATGCTGATGTTGATGGTGATGATGATTATGGTGATGATGATGATGATGATGGTGGTGGTGGTGATAACGATGGTGGTGGTGATGATGGTAATGATGATGATTATGCTAATAATGTTGATGCTGCTGATGCAGCTGATGATTGTGATGTTGATGTTGATGGTGATGAGCACGACAATGATGACGATCGTGGTGATGATACTAGGATGTTGATGGCGATCATGACGATGATGATGAAGACGGTAGTGATGTTGATGTTGATGATGATGTTGGTGTCGATGACGATGTTGTTGTTAATGATGATGATACTGATGGTGATGGTGGTGGTTATGATGGTGATGATGATGATGATGATGATGATGATGATGATGATGATGATGATGATGATGTGGACCTGCGGGGAGCAGGAGGGCGGAGGGGGCAGCGGATAGGAAGGAAGGAGTACGCGGAGCGATGCGTATTCAAAACGAGGACCCAGCGCCACAGGACGGTTGGGGAAAAACAATGGGACCGCGCCCCCCAGGCCACGATCGACTGCAAAAAAACGATAGCCCCGAGCTCCCGAACAACCAAGATTGCCGACGCAGGCTTCCAAGCTGCCAAGATGGCATATGATGCCCACAAGGCGACCCAAGGTGGCCCCAAGAGGGCCCAATATTGTCTCAGGGCAGCTCAAGAGGCCTCCAAGACAGCAGAAGAACCTCAAGTGGGCCTCAAGAAGACCCCCAGGAGGACCCGAAGAAGCCAAAATCAGACACCCTTCTTGCATGTTCCACCAGCCCTTTGGGCGTAGGCAGTTTAATGAATTAGAGATTCCAACATCCCCTTGACATTGGAGGAGAGGTTTACCTCTTTCCCAACCTCCTCTCCGTGGATCTGGACGGGGCGTTCCGCGCCCAGGCTAGCCGAAGATGGCATCGAAGAGCGCACAATCTATCCCAAGTTGATCAAAACAGCTTACAGCATGCTTCAAGAAGCCACAGTGCCGACCCCAGAAGGTTCCAAGTGGCTATGGAGCCGCCCAAAGACCCCCACCAGAGCCCCAAGCCTTTCATAAACCTAAGCGAAAACATGCTGTCGTATCGCATTGCCGCTTCCAGTGGGCGATTGCCCCAAGATGGCTGCAAGATGGTCCAAGGGAGCCACGAGTGGGGCACACGAGCAGCCTAAGACGGCCCCAAGAGCGCCCAAGAACGCCTCAAAAGCACCCCAAGAGCACCTCAAGAGGGGGCCGGCGGGGGAGACTAACTGGCGCTGTCCTATTTGTTGGACCGACTACATCCATAATGGCCCCAAGCGGCCCCTCAAAGACTCCATGACAGGGCCCAATGAGAACCAAATAGGGCCCCAGTAGGGCCCAAAGTGAGCCTCAAAGGCCTCTTGTCCCTAGAGGGCCCCACGATGGCCCCAAGATGTCGCCGAGGGGCTCCCAGAGCACGACAGCACGCTGCTACGAACCCCTGATCATGGCAGCTCGCCTGGTGAACGTGTTTGGATTTGCTGGTGGGGGTACGCGAAGCGTTCAGACTTGTAAATAAGTTCGCGTCTTCACCTGTTTCGGGCTTCCTGCAGCTTTGGACGGTCCTAGAGGCCTCCAAGATTGCCCCAAGACAGCCAAAGAGGCCCCCAAAATGGCCCAACAATTTTCCAAGAAGGCCTCAACACAGACCAAGATGCCCTGAAGACGGCCCAGGACGGCCACAAGAGGTCCCGAGCTTCCGAGGAGGGCCTTCGGGGGCAACCACGACGGTACAGGACCCCTTGGCGAAAGACGGCCCAAGACAGCCCCAAGGGACCCTAACACTGCCCCACAAGAGCCCCAAACAGCCCAAAAATGGCCCCAAGTGAGCTCCTCCTCAACATCATCAGCATCATGATGATCCACATCGCACTCGTCCACTACGATGTTCCCCCTTCTTCTTCTGTTCCTCCTCCTCTTCCTCTTCCTCCTCCTCCTAAATACACCCCCTTGTCATCGTTTCTGTCATCCTCCTACTCCGCCCAAAGACGAGCTCCAATGATCCTAGATGAACTTCAGACGACCGACATGTGACATGCGACGGCACTCTGACCGCGACTGCAACCGTCAACGCGCACTGCACCTTTAGTGCCGCTTGGTCAGCATATCACATCCTTCTGAGAGCACTGGGCTGGCACGGTGGCGGGAATTGCCGCAGGCAGCTGGACACGCACGACGCGCTTGAGCATGAAATGAGAGCAGGAATCACACGGTGCTTCCCAGAAAAAAAAACCTACTTTGTATAGTCAAACATCCGCGCTTTGCCTGTGCGGCAGAAAAAAACACGCTCTTAGACGTGAAAGCTATGATAGGCTGCCAATGCTTCGCATCCGCCAATGTCAAAAACTGGCTATGCCAGATCGAGATACGAGACGAGCGCGCAACAAATGATGGACATATCAGTGCAAGACCACTGTAAAACCGTAGCGTACAAACACTGAGCAAACATTACTCATGCCAACACAATAGACGTATGCGGGATCCTGGTGCGTGGCACGTCAATAAGCTGATGCAGGAGCTACTCCGGCACGCGTGGCGAACGTGCATGATATGTTACTGCCCGATCGCGATAACACCTCCATCTCGTTCACACCTCAAACACAATGCACATGGGGCGAACGATCACTGCAGACGGGATGCAAACCCAAGATTAAAAGGATCAAGGGGGCGCAAGACCCGGGTACAGGGGACTCGGAAATCCCCCACGAGGTCGTCAAAAAAATGACGAGACGAGCCTGCATTTTGACGAGGCATCCCGCTCCAGAGGCTCCCGAGTCGCGGTCGTCAAAAAACGATGGCGAACCCGAGTCCTGGCAAACCCGGGTCTTACGCTCCCCCGAAAGGATGCTGACGCTCACTGGGATGCACAAATCAGCGCTGTTGGGGCGGAGTCGGCGTCGCCTGCCCCCAATCTCGCGTCGCTCCCTCCCCAGCTGGCACTCCTGCTGCCCCGCTGTGCTGCAGCCGATCCTGCACACTACTGGTGCCCCTTCCCCTCGATCCTCCTCACCCTCCTTCTGCTCCTGCTCCTGCCCCTGAACGTGCGTCTCCTCCTCCCTCTTCCTTCCCCTCCTCCTCTTCTTCCGCGTCCCTCCTCCCCATGGACACCACCTTCTCCAGGCTCATCGGCCGATCCTGGCGTGCCCAATCCTCCTCGCGATCTCTGGATACCAGCTGCATTATACTTCCAGAATGCCAAGCAAGCCTGAACTGGATCGGACCGCGAAATCGAATTTTCTCTGTCACGGATCGGATCGCCAGCGAATCGTCCCGAAACGAATCGAAATCGGATCGCCGCCCCTGGCTCCGGCTGGCCCTGACCGATGCCGATGAATCGAGCCGAATCGGATCGAATCGAAATCGCAGCCCAGGCAGGATAATCAATTCGCATCGAATCGGATCGTAGGCGGCCCTCCCAGGTGCATGTTTGCACGGCTGTTATGGCTCGAGTCGCCACGGACTCATTCGCCGCATCTGCACTCGATCGTGTCAGGGCCGAGTCGAGAGCACGAGCGCAACCTGGCCCCCGAGGTCGGGTTCGCTATGCTTGGCGGCGTCAACAATGGACGTCCGAGCCGACATCGCAAAGATGACACAAATGGCGCTTCGCACGGACAGGAAAAAACGGTGCAATCCAAAACCGTCCCGATCGCAGATGCTTGACGTGCACTCTGATTCTGCAGACGCCGAGAGAGAGAGAGAGATAGAGAGAGAGTGGAACGAGGAAGAAGAACATGCCAAGCAAAAGGCGAATTGATAAGAGAGCCGACAAAGAGCGTAGGTACGTGTAATGGACGAGCAACGTATTTCCTCGCTGGCTCTCTGGAACCACTGGATAGAGAGACTGGGCGTCCTCCAAGTCGCCGCGGCACATGGGGCAGAAATGGCTCTTGCGCAGCCACTTTTCCAAGCACTCGTTGTGCATCGTGTGCCTCCACATTACTTCCGTCCGACATGCACATCGTCCTCGCTGCTTTTCCCCGTACACTCGCGCATGCGGCAACCTTTTCCCCCAGCTTTTCCCTTGCGTGACTTCGCTTGCCAGCCTGCACCATAACAGCATGCCTTTGCTTGGCTTGGTCACGCGCGGGCGAAACATTGAATTCATAGCGACAAGCCTGAACCGAATTCCATGACCCTGCTGCCTCTACCATGCACAGATTCACGCGTGAGTACAAGAGTACCAACAACGTGCCAGCGCCAGTAGCCACAAAGTTGCGTAATTGAACCGTGGGGTGGTCCTGGTATTGATCATGCTGTGGCGCGTTGGCGCGAAGAACGAGTCGACGCGTAGAACGAATACTCGCATCTGCTCAAAACACATGTGCATGTTCTTGAGTAGGTAACCCGTAACTGGACAGAGACACATAATACACATGTGTTGATCTGCATGTTTGCAAATGCACGCATAGGGAACTCCATCTGTGTGTGAGCGTGTGACCAAATCTTTAATCACGCATTCAGATATAACAACATTGCGCACCTATGTGTAAGAGCGTTTCAGCGCCAGTCGCCACCGCACATCTTGAATGCAAACGTAAACACAGTGATGAAGAAGAACCGTAATTTGGGGTGTGAATGCTTCTTTGAAGCTGGCACAGCCCGAGAATCGTACTTATGTTCGCGTCGTGCGTGACGCACTCACGAAGCTTTGCGCGAACTCCCCGGATCGTTAGGGCGAATGGAGGACAGTACGGCGGCTTCGAGTCGTGACGACGTCACAATTGGTCTCTTACACCGCGTAGATGGTTCAATTTGAACGATCGTATCTCACTCCGGTCGGCGAGCCAATCCAAGAAATCCGCGAGGGCCTCCGAAAGCGTATGTTTATACAGTGTGTAAAATGAGGCGGGACCTGGGGCAAAATAGGACCAGGTTACTTCGGGGATCTCTGAGGCCTCGCGGTTGCATACACTCAATAGTATATTTATCTGTTTCTCTCTCTCTCTCTCTTCTCCATTTGTTTTTGTTTATCTCTCTCTCTCTCTCTTTCTGTCCGTCTCCCTCTCTCTCTCTCTCTTCCTGTCACTCTCTCTCTCTCGCTCTCCCTGTCTGTCTCTCTATCTCTTCGCCTCCCTCTCTCGTGTTTCTTTCGAGTGTTCTGTATGTTCTCTCTCTCTCTCTCTCTATATATATATATATATTTCTTCTCTCTACTCCGTTTGCTGTATCTAACCTCTCAGCTCGCTCTGCAAAGCATTTCTTCTCTCGATCCTTCGACATTTCGTTGTCTCTAAGTACCCTACATCAATGTTTATCCCTTTCTCTTTCGTTATTTTTGTTATTTTGTGTTTCTCTCTCTCTCTCTCTGTTCATCCTTCTCTCTCTCTCTTTCTCCTTCTCTCTCTCTCTTTCTCCCTTTCTCTTTCTCTCTCTCTCTCAATATTTACGTGCGTACGTACATACGTATACATTTGCGTATATACACTATGTAGGTCTCTCCGTATACTTGTATTCCCCCAACGATGCTTGTACTCAAGGGTTCTTACTTCAGCTCTAAGGAACTGGACCGTGCGGCCTGTCTGGCGGCTGTGTTGTCGCCGTCGCCGCCCCGTCGCCGCCACGTCGGCGCCCGCCGTCTGGGCCGTGTGGCCAGTCTGGCGGCCACGTTGTCGCCGTCGCCGCCCCGTCGCAGCCTCGTCTCCGCCCGTCGTCTGAGCCGTGCGGCCAGTAAGGCTGCTATGTTGTCGCCGTCGCCGCCCCGTCGCCGCATCGTCGCCGCCGCTGGATTATACCAGATAGGTTGCACGAAAAGTATGTCGCGCCTGGGCCGCGCTTTTAGATCGCTCCGAACATATATTGCACCACATATGTTGCGCAACCTAGGTTGCACTACATAGATTGCATAACATGTATTGCACAACTACACAGATTGCATCACATGCACGGCACAACATATATTGTACCACATAAAGATTGCACACCATATATTGGACAACCACATAGATTTGCACAACACGTTTCGCAAAACATTGATGGCACCACACAAATTGAACCGCAGAGATTGTACAACCTATATTGCTTCAAATCGATTACACCGCAAATATTGCACCACACATATTGGCCCTCAAATACTGCAGCACATAGATTGCACGACGTTTCGCTTCGCGCCTGCGGCGAGCTGTTTGATCACTCACAACACATACTGCATTACATAGATTGCACCACCTGAATTGCACAACAGAGTCCTCTCTCTTTACTTACTTTTGCAAACCCAGGGAAAAACAATACCCCCAGGATCCGTGGACGCCCCCGCAGGAGGCCCCCCAACCTTTACAGAGCTCCTAAACGCCCCTGCCGGGCCTAGGCAACAGGCCCAAATCGTACAGAAGGGCGGCCGAACGGCCCCCCGAGGGCCCCAAGAGGTCCCAGACACCCACCAGAGGCCCGAAGACGACCCAAAGAAGACCCCCAAGAGGCTTTCGAAACGCAGAAAAATATGGGTTTTCCAAAATTTGTGCATGATTTGGGGAATGCCCTGTTCTCCAGTCTTCTGGGCGTCCAAGACCGCCCAGGAGGCTCGAACATCGCCCCAAGACTATCCAAAAGGGCTTCCAGATAGTCGAAGAGAGCCCCAAGACGGCACAGCAGGGTTTCAAGATGGCCCGATGAGAGCCCCACGACGGCCCAAGGTGCCCCCAATATGCCCCCCGACGCATTCCCAATCGTGACCCGGCCGTTCAGGGAGGCTGCGGTTGGAAGCAGGATGGCCCGAGGAAGCCCCCAGAGGCCACCAGAAGGCGCCCAGGAGGCCTCCCGCGACCCCAAGGAGCCCTTAAAAACTATGGTGAGGCCCCCAAGAGGCTCTCCAAGGCGGAGACTCCACAACAAGAGCTGAGGAGGATGGGGGATAGTTCGCAGGGTAGGGCGAAAACAAGGAAGAATAAAAGGAGACATGAGGGAATAATGACGAGACACATTCTTGTTACGGCGATGTCGAAAAAGGCCAAAAGAAGTTCTCGCTAAGTTGTCTGTATTACCTTCCTGCCCTTCCGCCTGCATGCCAAACTTCAAGGACCAAGGTGCATGGCGCGAAGCGCCAGTGCGTCTTGTATATATAGCACATATAGATACGCAAAGTTGTGAATATAGATATCTGCACTCATATAACTAGATTTACACATGAATACATACAGTAAACATAACTACTCAACCTCTCTCGCCCTATACACGCATACACATATACTCACGTCTCTCCACGTCTGAAACTAATTCGTACCATTTGTGCGCATTGAAGACAAACCTGCTCTCAAGTGTCTTGCACCTACTCTCTTATCTCTAATCATCTCTGCACTCTACTCTCTGAAAAATACTCCCAACTCCGTATTATCGACCCTCTCAATCTGACCGTGCTCGCAAAGACATATCCAAGACTTCCAGAAATGGGGCTGGGAAACTGAGACCCCGAAACTGGAACCTGGGAACCTGGCCGCAAAACGAAATCATCACAACATCCGAAAACTGGGAACCAAAAAAACCGGCCGCCCCCCGAAATCGGCCCAAACCCTTCGCCTAGTCTCTCGTCCTCCGCTACGACCCTTTCAGTCGAAGCACTTATTGGGGAAAATGAGCCGAACTAGCTAAAGAGATTCAGATGCGGGCCAACGATGAGCATGAACATGTACGAACACGCTGCCTGGAGGATTCTCTGACACCCGGAGCAAATTGCCAGGGCGCGAGAGATACCCAAATATAGGGTAGGCCCGGCATGTGTTCCTACCACTTCGATGCAATCTGTACCAGTGGAGGCGGCCAGATCGAAGAAGCGAGGATGGTACCTCGGACCGCAGTCGCAGCATCTGGTTTCCCCTTGCTCATCCCTGCACTGCGTGGACCCGTCCCATCACACCCTCCTGCAGCGGGTGATGACGATGGCCTGGGTCTGGTCGTACTCCTTGGGGAAGGCCCGGACGGCGATTGAGAAACCAATGATACAGTCGACCCGTATCGTAAGGATGCGCGATAAGGATGCAAGGGCCTTGGACGCCCATGTCGAAGCTTCTCGAGCGGGGCGTGGCCAACGAAAGTCGCCAAGGATGGACCGAGGAAGCAAGGATGCAAGGGTACCCTTGGGAAGGTTGCCCTTCCTTACCATGCGGGTTGACTGTACTCACGCATGCTTGCGCTCAACGGACCTTATGGATCCAAACGCCACTGGTCACCACTGGGTTCTACTTATATTCAAGAACGGAGAAACGCCCCTACCCTGGTTTACAAGTGCGTGGTCAGTAAACCTCCTGGGAGCTCCCACAGGCCAGAGAGCCGCCAGAACGCCGCGCGGCACGCGAGATACGCAGGGTTTACACTGTCAGCCCACAGGAGGTTCAGCGCACAGCGCCTCATAAACCAGGGTAGGGGCGTGTTTTACGCCCTTGATTATACTTATAGTTGTATATATATATATACATAACCAAAAAAACTAGACCCAGGCACGCGCTTCGCGCGCGCTTAGGTTCTAGCAGTGCCGTATCCCAAGTTAACCATGAGCAGGGCAGGAGTGTAAAACATCAAATGCAGCAATCCTTCAAAGCCCAACGGGAAATCGATGAGTTCAGCCTCTTCGGGCTTTCCCAAAGGATGTCTTGGAGGCGTCTGTGCCGCCTCGGAGGCTATCTTGAACTATCTAGGCCCCATCTTGGGCCGTGTAGGGTGCATCTTGAGGCCGTCTCGGGCTCTCCTGAGGCCATCTTAGTGGTCTTGGACGCATCTCTGAAACCATCATTGGTCATTGTGGCCGTCTTGGAGGCCATCTAGGCCGTCTTGGACCGAGAACGGGGGGTCCTGGAGCCCCGGTGCCGCCATGGACGCGGCTGTCTTGAAAGCAATCTCAAGCGTTTTGAATCCTCTTGGACTATCTTGGGGCCCTCCTGGAGCCGTCTGTGGGGCTTCTTGGGCCGTCACAGGGCTACCGTGGAGGCCTCTCGGGCGCTCTGGGGGCGATCTTGGGAGCCTCTTGGGTCATCTGGACCGTCGGCAGGCCGAAGACAAAACAAATGCAAAAGTCCTTTCAAAACCAACGGGAAATCGATGATCTTCGCTTCTTCGGGCCTTTCCCAAGGGATGTCTTGGAGGCGCCTCGGCCGCCTCGGAGGCAATCTTGAGCTATCTTGACCCCATATTGGGCCGTGTAGGGCGCATCTTGGGGCCATCTCGGGCTCTCCTGAGGCCATCTTAGCGGTCTTGGAGGCATCTCTGAAGTCATCATGGGCCATCTTGGCCGTCTTGGAAGTCATCTGGGCCGTTTTTGGACCAGGCACGGGAGGTCCTGGAGCCCCAGCCTGGCCATGGAGAAATGAGGCCGGGCCCCACCGGGGACCTGGAACCCATGTATGTATATATATATATAGAGAGAGAGA